CCCGACTCCGCCCGGTGACGTCATTATGTGCGCTATAGAAGGAGGTCTGTGATTCGTTGACTTAAAATCGTCGATAGTGGGTCTCATTGAAATCTCGTCACATTGGCGTCGGATCAGATGTAGGTAGGGCGGAATTAAAAAAAAATCAAAATCAAAGTAAAATAATAAAATAAAAGGGCATTAATACAAAAGTAATAAAAAATAAAATTAAAATAAGTTTATAGCCAAAATAATTAAAGCCCGTACACTACATCAGATTTTAATCAGATTGTGTCCACATTTAACCACGAATAAATCAACTTGTGGTAGTGTTATCACGTAGTTTTTGAACTTTGTTTGAACTTTGTGTGTTTTATTTCTGTTTTGGGACTGGTAGGTGGGATCGAAACCCCTTGCCGTGAGAACCAGTGAGACTGGCCTACTTGCAGGGTCCCAAAGCTTAACGTTGTGCGTTCTTTTGTTTTCTTTTACGTTATTTGTCCTTGTCAAACTGCTAAATAAAAATCACTACTACTACAACGACATGGAATGGAATTAATTGGAATATTTCTGTGTTTCTTATGTTATCTTCCTCCATAGGCGTAAGTGTTATACAGTAACGAGCAAAATTAGCTGTACGCAATGATAATGATATTACCACTGTGCTAAGGTAATACAAGTAGCATACATATAAGTCGCAGAGCCCCTGTGTTTTTAAATGGTGTCAGTTCAACCTTGTGAATATGAAGGTCATCAACATAAAAATCAAGGTGAATTCCCAGCATAAACATATACAGATGCCTGCATTGTAAGTTCTTTCCTCGTTTAACAAATAGAATATCGACTAACGACATACACAAGAACAACACAAGAACAGTGTCCTGTGTCGTATTTACAATCAAGGTAATTATAGTAGTTAAAAACTACTTACCTAAATCATCGTGCCTCTCCAAACAAACTGGCACCAGACCTTCCTCCAGACAACACTTAATGGACAATAACCCTGCTACTCCAGCTCCAATGATGGCCACACGTTGAGACATGATCAGAATCAAACAAATTGTCGATGTGTGAAATTGAAAGATGTACAGAAATCTAAACGAATAGGTGAACTACGTCGTTCTGCAGTCACACCTTATTTATTCTTGCTGCGGACTTGTTTACACTTGGACATATCATTGCGCAGTAACACATTGACACCCAAGGAGTGGTTAAATTGAGTGATTCCATGGATCAAATTATTATTGTCGAAGTAACCAGTCTAACATTTTAGCCAATATCAATGGCAACATAGCCAAGTCTACCCGGTAGTGCTAAATTGTGAAATTCCAATTTTTCGAATGGCGGAGTAACACGTCCACGAGGAGTGACTACGCTGTTAGTTCATGTTCACGATTGATCCGGTTACACAACGGCTACATAGATGTCATAAAGAATAACCGTGCGCACAGTGGCGGATCCAGAGGGGGGCCAGGGGGCCATGCCCCCCTAAACGCATGACGATTCGTATTATCTAGATTACGCATAGCTTCTCTGCGATTTACCCTCCGTATATCTTAAGCGTAGCTTGGACCCCCCCCCCCCCCAATACATTTTGCTGGATCCGCCACTGCGTGCGCACGGTTACGAGAAGAACGGTTAGGAAACTATTGTTAGATATGATAATTACCATTGACTTCACTTTGAAGCGTGTCCAACCGCTATGACGTCATCGCTTATATTCAGTGCTAGCGACGTTCGTTTTCTATGCGAATCCACTAAATTGAAGAAATAGAGCTCAATAAGCCGACAGATCGACGTATAAGCGTCACCGACTTCTGTGCTAATGTTGTGTAAAACTCAGTGTTCCGTTATTCTCGAAAAAAATGAAAATAATTGTTCTAAAAAGTTAATATTCGTTACTACGTTAATGTGTAGGTATTTTTTGTTGAGGTTAGCAACGTCTGAGCCATTTTGTCTGTCTTTGTCAACAGTTCGGGAAAATTGCTGAAAAATTATTATCATTTTGTGTGGGTTAAATGCTCGGTTGATGCAGAAAATGTTCATCGTTTCAGTAGTCTGTTGACTCAGTCATCTAGCGCACGCGTGATAAAAAAATAAATGCGATATTTACTATATGGGGCCGCCATCTTGAATGCGGCATAAAACTAAATAAGAAACAAGTGAATTGTGAAACGCGTTTTTCAGATTCCTACAAATCAGGATAAAAATGTCAATCTTTCCGTTCGGGTAATATTAAGCTAACCGATAACAATATTCGGCCGAATTCGTCGTTTTTGTGTAGAAAAATCTCTTAAATACGAACACCTAATTACACGAAGAACATAGAATACTTTCCCGGGGTATTTGAAACCCAAAATCGTCATTCCAGCTTAGCAGCCAATCAGCGACGGCCTTACAGTTAGATGACAATCTCCCTGACCAATCAGAAAACACGAATGGAGATAATGCCCGCTTTGTGAAAGTGGCGTTAATCGTCCACAGGCTATAGAGCTAAAATCCATCATACACCGACGATTGCTGATGTTCAATCGTCATATAAAAAAGTAAAATAAAAATATTTACAATACGAAACCGGAAACGGACGTAACATCGCGGTATTATAGATGGAGATGATACGCCGCGATGTCGGTCGTTGTAACGTGTATGGCCACTGGTAATAATCTAGACCGTAAATATTTCTGTGCCAGTCGCCGTAGTTGACAATTCGAGTTTATTTGATCATATACTGACAGCTTTATAGCGTCGACGTCTTTAGATGTACTGTCACAGTGTGTTATTTGTTATATCTGTCAGAAACAGCACAAGCACGAGGATGGATTACCCGGATACTTCTTCCAAGAAAACCCGAACACCATCTTGTAAGCGGAAGATAGGCAATATGTCGATGTCTTTCAAGCTCAGGACCATTTAATGAGGTGAGATATTAGCACAAATTTGTTCAAACTAACACATCTATTAGTCTAAATGTTGCGTGATGCATTGCAATCTTTCTTCTGAACCGAATTCAAACACTGCTTCTAAACACCTAGCATCAACAACACTGACCTCCCTGAAGCATACACAGTCCCTTACTGTAGACATTATTTGACATCGTCCACCACAGTAAAACCTAAATAAAATACATTTTGACTTAAATCAATGTTTATTACAGTTACCGGATATAGTAAAATTAACATTCTGATAATTTTCATTCAAATTTCACCGTGACAATAAATGCATTAAATAGTTCACTGATATATACCAGTTTGAAGTGCATATACAAGACTTACTAAACAAGGTAATTTGGGCCGTTTGTTGCTTTCTTTTTATCAAGAAAAAGGGGTGTCTACATGAATTACAGTCATTTTCTTTTTCAAGTGTTATTGATATTGTAACCAACAGCAATATACAATGATTGGCAAATTACAAATTTTGATATTGGTTTAGCAAATGAGTATGTAATGATATTGTGCTAGTAGTTTTGGCTTTCAAATTCGCCGTGTTGGGAATTGCGAATGTCGCGAACATTGACTTCTGGCGTCGGCTCATACATGTACGGCCCTATGATCGTTGACGTATCAAGCAAAGCTGAAGGAATAGTAGAAATATCTGAAATGTTCAGTAGTAACGCAGCTTACAGCTATTGAATGTTCAGCTCAGGTTTACATAAGAAACTACTTGTGACGTCACGGCGCGTTGAAAGTTCGATGACCTGGACTTGAAACACGTTCGGGATTCTTCTAAAATGACCCTCAAAACGGCGATTTTGGACATATTTCGAAAGTAATTCCTTTCCGAAGGCCACATAGACTTTTGGAAAAAACGCCTCTGCTTAAAATTTATTGCGTATTTATTGTGTGAATTTTACTTTTATACAAGCACTTGCAAGTAAGACGTTTTTCAGATAATAATTTAGTCAAGACGATTCACCGTGATATTAATATAGCAGAACGCCTTCGAGTTTTACGACGAATCGTCAAATTAATTAGTTAAGTATTGTTGAAACTTAAAATCGATAAACGCAAACTTTTCCATTGATGTTTACCTATTCAGCGTGATTGCGCCACCTACGCCCAGATGTATTGTTGTATATCTGCGACCCAGGACACTGCAAGTGACTGTATACGACCCTAAGCTTCATCTAACTCGATCCATTTTCCAAAGCGCAAGATGTGGGATAGGACATTTGTTATGTCGTGTATTGAGTGGATTGATGCTACGGGGTATTAAGCGCAAGGAACCTTGCATCGTCCGAATCGCACAGGTTTGTTGGTGTCGACTCATTGCCGACGCGTAGCACGGTTGCTTCAAAATTCTTCCAGTAACCGTGCGTGCAGAGTGTGTTGAGATTGTTTGCCAAACCCCCAAATCAGACACTGCATTTTTTCACCCAGTTTTCCACAATTTATTATGTCAACGTTACAGGCTTTGTGGAGTACTTCTTCGGCAAAGTAACAAATATGTATGTCGCCCATGTTTTAACAAAGTAATGAAACTGTCAAGTCCGAAAGAAAATCTCAGAATCTACTCGACTGATCGGTCAAGAATTGAACTGTTGCAAATTTCCGTGATTTGTCACTCCCTGACAAACTCATCTTTTTTCAACTAGCAATGCCTCAATTGCATGGTTTTGGTGATCGGTGCGGCTTTTTAACTTAAGTAACTGCGCGATCTGTTCTGCTTGGGTCGCCATTTAAATAACCCGCTCTACTCGTACTGTATTTTTATACACGACAGCTGATTGTCGCATCTCTCCTTCTTGCCATTAAGGGAGCCCATTCAATAACACTGTAGTGGCTCAATCTGCCAAGGGTTAGTTTGGAGGGGTGACCCGAAACAAACGTTCCTTGGCTGGCGAAGATGAAACCGTGGGTCACAGAAAATACTACAATGATGTGACTTTGAAAAAAGAAGTCCTTAAAAATGTAGTAGGACAAGCACGAGATCATGTTGTACAAATAATTCAATCATTAACACTAACTGCACGTAATCCTGAGAATTTTTATTGTAATTAAAATTTATAAATCATTATAACTATTACATATAGTTTACTTATTTAAGTGTTTAATACAAACTAATTACTAAATTATTTTTTTATTAACATATACAATGCATTTTAATTTGAAACATAAGAATTATTGTTTGGTACACCATTGCAAACAAACAGAATTTACATTGCCATCTCTCCTTTAAATGATAGGTTTGTACTTTTTTGCAGTTGCAGTTTTGATGATGTAAATGTAGATAAGAAAAAGTGATTAGATGTTGAACGTGGAAGTCAACAATCCTAGAAGTGAAGTTTATAAATACATTTGTAAGAAACAGAATATTTTATTTTCTCTAATTAATTCATACTTGACTGTAATAACATATCACTATAAACTGTAAAGCAAACACACTTATTTTTTCTAATTTTGATTGAAAGGTTTCATGAGCATGGTTATGAAGAGATATGGTTATATGTTGTACTATGAGTTTTCTAATGAAAATATATGTCGACCATGAATGCAGTTTTGTGCTTGATATGGCCGATGATCATGACTTTTGACCTGTGATGTCTTCATTGACAGTATGGATTTTTGTATTTTTCAGACCCCCTTTTTTATAAAACATTTTCTCATATTCTGTATATATTTAACTGTGACATTATTGTAAGATAGAATCAGTAACCGTAAACAAAACGCTTGCCTAACGGTGTAGGTCACACAGGTTAGTTGCTGAGACGTGGACGCTTTAATATCATGTTAACATAATCTGCCTTAAAAAAAAGGCTACTGTTCTTTTACAACTTTATTTGTTAATATGTCTCTGATGTTATCAGCGATAGGGCTGTATTAGCTCAGACAGTGACAGCCTAGGCATGCTACAAGTAGGATATATCAGGAATCACAGTATGTGTGATAACCCAAAAGTTAACATCCTTGATCTTTCATGTGTAATGAATGAGCGCCTCTGTTCATAATAACGTGACTATCATTTATCTTAGCAGAACAGTGGTTATGTGAATGATATACAAGGTTACTAATACATATTGGGGGAATGTAAACCTGTGAAAATATGGTTGATTAAGGCGCGAGAGTCAGACACGAATGATCAGTGGCGGATACAGCAAAATGTATTGGGGGGGGGGGGTCCAAGCTACGCTTAAGATATACGGACCGTAAATC